GGTGGTTATTGTTGTTGATGTTGTAGTCGTTGTTGGTGTTGTTGTTGTTTCTGTCTGACTGTGTCCCAACAATGGGTGATGGTGGTTATTGTTGTTGATGTTGTAGTCGTTGTTGGTGTTGTTGTTGATGTTGTAGTCGTTGTTGTTGTTGTTGTTGTTGATGTTGTAGTCGTTGTTGTTGTTGTTGATGATGTTGTAGTCGTTGTTGTTGTTGTTGATGATGTTGTAGTCGTTGTTGGTGTTGTTGTTAATGTTTCTGTCTGACTGTGTCCCAACAATGGGTGATGGTGGTTATTGTTGTTGATGTTGTAGTCGTTGTTGGTGTTGTTGTTGATGTTGTAGTCGTTGTTGTTGTTGTTGTTGTTGATGTTGTAGTCGTTGTTGTTGTTGTTGATGATGTTGTAGTCGTTGTTGTTGTTGTTGATGATGTTGTAGTCGTTGTTGGTGTTGTTGTTAATGTTTCTGTCTGACTGTGTCCCAACAATGGGTGATGGTGGTTATTGTTTTTGCGAGGGTGGTTGGTGGATGGGTTCTCAGATGTGATTTTCTCCTTTTTTAAATTAAAAATCTGTCCTCCTTATTTTTGTGTGTTTGTTACTGTCTTGTAGTGGTTGGTTGGTGGATGCTCTGGTGTGGTTTGCTTCTTCTTTACTATCAAACATCTATCTCCCTGATCTTTCCTTCTTCTTTTTTTGTGTTGTACTCGCTTGTAACACCTTTAGTCTTCGGCACTTATACGACCTTATGCAGTTGCGAACGCCGTAAAACCTTACTAAAACAAAACATTTTTTCCCACAGATCAAGAGACAGATGGGAAGTAACGTTGCGATGAACAGCGTTGAAATGAAGCAGGAAGGCAGATCTGACAGTTCCGACAGTTGTGTGAGCCAGGTGCCATCCACTGGTGAGCCAACTAGGCAGGAGGACAGTTCCGACAGTTGTGTTAGCCAGGTGCCATCCACTGGTGAGCCAACTAGGCAGGAGGACAGTTCCGACAGTAGTGTGAGCCAGGTGCCAGGTGACGAACCAATGATCAAGGAGAGACATCCTGCACAGGTTTCAACAGACAACCCAGGCACTTCCAAGCTGTTTCACGTCTTCCAAAAATATGAGAAGGAAGTTTTGCAGAAAAATGAAAAAGCACCCCCTCGTCCATATAGCAAGCTTTTGTGGTTAGCAGATGTTACCACATTCGTGCGTTCTAAAGATCTGCAAAAAGAACATCTGTCCACAGAACATCCGCCCACAGAACATCTGTCCACAGAACATCTGTCCACAGAACATCTGTCCACAGAACATCCGCCCACAGGACATCTGACCACAGAACATCCGCCCACAGAACATCTGTCCACAGAACATCCGCCCACAGAACATCCGCCCACAGGACATCTGTCCACAGAACATCCGACCACAGAACATCCGCCCACAGGACATCTGACCACAGGACATCTGACCACAGAACATCCGCCCACAGAACATCCGACCACAGAACATCCGCCCACAGAACATCCGTCCACAGAACATCCGCCCACAGAACATCTGACTGCTGCACCCAAGCACCTCAAGGTTAGCTATAAGGAGAATAAAGAAATGCAATGTGCAGACGCAGGTCCGTGCTTTGAACCGAATTGCACACAGAGAGGTGTGGAGGAGACGGAGGGTGACAAGACAGTGTTTCAGCCACCAGTTACTGAAGCCAAAGTGTTGGTCGCTCGGCCAAACAACATTCAGTCATCACATGGGACGTCACAAGGAACGTCGGCCACACGTGTGTCCGACCTATACAGCACACACTCGGCACTTATGGTACCCGCCCCCGAGTCTACCTATGTGTACGACTCATCCCCTTCACAGCTGCAGGTACTCCATTTCCACACCTCGCCCAGGAAGAATTGAGACCGAAGGTTCACCAAGTGCACTTGTGCCCAGCCTGACTAACGGCACTGTTAACATTCCTAAGTTAAGTATAAGCTCGCCAGTAGGCAGTCCGGCACAGGGGTCTCTCAAGGTTTAGAGGATAAGGTGTTTGCCCTTCGTTCGAAGGTCCCGGGTTCGAATCCTGGGTAGCGACCGAAAAATTTTGTTCTTTTAAATTGTCACCTTCTTACCTTCTCTCTTGCAATATTCTGTTGTCTGCTTTCGTCTGCACTTTCTTCTCCCACCCCCTCACCTCCTTTGCCCCTTCCACTGGGCTCTTTACTCTTTTTGCAGCCTTTCTACTGATACTCCTTGGCTCCTTCTTACTGCTGTCTTTCAGCCGCACCCCTGATCTTCTGGTAGCAAAGATTTACACCAAGCCTTCTTGGACGAGGGTGAAAAGAAATGTGAGCTACAAGGTTTTTTTTAAACCACCCTTTTGTGAAGAACATGATCTGTAACTGCTGTGTGTACTCTGTGTGTGTGTGTGTGTGTGTGTGTGTGTGTGTGTGTGTGTGTGTGTGTGTGCGCGCGCGCGCACTGTGCTCAGGACAATAGTGAAGAATATCATCCGCTAGTTTTTTTCTTGGGTAGCAATGATCAAATATTGTTGTGGTTTTTGATAAATAAAGACTTAAACGCTTTGTTACAAAACTGAGAATGGAAAAAATCATCCACGTGGTCGAAAAGAAATGCCAATTTTGTATTTCTTAATATTGGTGCTGTGAACACTGATTGAAATACCAAAAATTATTTTTATAACATGACCTACTTTTCAGAATACTTTGTATTATTCATGTGAAAGGAAAAGTGTAAAGACTCAAAAGACTAGATTTTATACATTATCAAAAAGTGGCAGTTTCAGTTTGATAGCCATTATAGTAGGCCAACACTTTTTTTTCATTCAAAAAATGGAAAAATATTGAGGGGGAATTACAAAATGGTTACATTCCATTATGGCTGAAGTATGTAAAGTATGACTTCACAATTAACTGTTTGGTTTGGAGAAAACACTTTAAAATAATTCTACCCAAGCTAGCATTTGTTGTTACTATGCAATTTTGTCAAACCTGGGGTGCCTGTGACCTTTTTTTCTCAATGTATGCAGCAATATTGTAACAATGTGCATTTTGTACCTTCTCGTGAGCACACATGCATGCACGCATGCACACATGAACATTCGCATGCGCAAACACACACACATATACACACAATACACACATTCTCACATACACACACACACACGTGAACTTTCAAATTTATATCCTGATGGAAAAAAGTTTTTCCCCTCCTTAAATTCTTGCTCACTGAAGATGGAACAAAGGGGTGGTGAGTCAAGCCGATTTAACAAATTTTACTATATTTCTTTCGTTTTTTTTGTTCTTATGAATGTGTTCAATGAATTCCGTGAATGTGTTCAATGAATTCCGTTTTTAATCTTTATATTCAGTGAATTCCATAAAAATTTTTGTGACTTTTTAATCTTGTAAATATGTTCAGCTAAATCCATTTTTAAATCTTGCAAGTATGTTTATAGTGTGGAAAAAAATTCATGGCGCAACTTATTGACAAATATTTCCTCAACTATCGAACATAAAATCTCCAGCTTTTGAACAATGACTTCTATCAGATCGTTCTAGCAGATCAATATTTTTGTAAACACCTGCTAACTGTATTCTAGAAAATTCCTTAATAAATGCTAATTAAAAAATCCATCCAAATGGGTGGTTTCTACATATTTAAAAAGGTTTACAGCTGGGGCAAAATTATTGCTTTTAAAAGCAAGTCTGTTTTTTTTCTTTTCTAATTGCAACGTTATGCCTATTGAAGGCATGTTTAGAGAACATTTAGTGCAAAAAACGTGTTCACTATAAAATTCATTTCTTGTAACATGTTTGCAAGAAAAAAGTGTCATTGGTGAGCTGTGACGTAGGCCACATATGTGGAAAGTGCTGTGAACAATCCCATATTCCGCGTGAAGGAGATTTGTAATATTTTCTCTAAATCTATGAAGAAAAGTTTTAAAAAATGTAGCCTGTGAGAAAATATGATTAAGTCCAGACAACTGCTGTTTGTGTAAAGCTTTGTGTGACGTTGATTTACCTGTTAAATAGATGTTTGAGGATAAGTTGAGTCATGAATTTCTGACAGCACTGTTGGAATAATGTTTTTTAATTTTGTGAATATGTTTAGTAAATTGTGTTTTTAATCTTGTAGATATGTGTCACGATGTGGTAAAATCAGGCGCTTGTCAATATTTGGGTATTTGGAGTTACTGATATCATCGGAAAGCTGATTTATTTGCCTTGCCTCCAATGAAATAAATATCTATTTTATTTGGTAGTGAAGGAAGTGAGATTGCCTGGTTTCAGTGGTGAGATTAGCGATAAAAATATTTTAAAATTGTGACTTTAATCAATATTTTTCAGTAAAATTCAATGGAAAGATGTGTTTTTATATGGACATAAAAGAAGTTAAGCCAAAAACTAAAAATTTGATAAAAATTTCCAACTGAAAGAGAAATGCCTGTTTCTCAGATTTAGTTATTTTGACGAGACCTGATTCCACATCTTGACACAAATGCTGAGTGAATGCTGTTTTTAATGTTGTGAATATGTTGAGTGAATGCTGTTTTTAATGTTGTGAATATGTTTAATGAATTCTATTTTAAATCTTGTGTGAATATGTTTAATGAATTCTGTTTCTTATCTTGTTAATATGTTTAATGAATTCTGTTTTCAATCTATCTTTAATGAATTCCATTTTATGCACATAGAGTCAGACCCTGTTATACAGCCAGTCTAACTCACAGCCAGGTTTTGCCAAAGCACACAAAAACAGCGCCTCTAAACATTGTAGGGGTACTTGCATCTCGTAAACCGCTCTCATACCTACTGCCTTGAGCTGCACGGTCCTTGCCAAACTGATATAAGTTTGCCCTGCAGTACTGCCAGTGAACTCGTCGTCAGATCGCGGCAAAGAGGTTTTGATATGTGAGGCATCGTGGTAAAATCAGGCGCTCGTTAAAATAATGAAATCGAAGACTACAGGATTTTTCTGCCGGTTAAGCAAATTTTAATGAATTTTTTGGGGGGAGCGCAACACCTTTTATGTCAATTAAAAAGAAATCTCGGAGTGGATTTTACTGAAACACGTGATTAAAGGCGTGCAAAATGTAAATTTTCATTTTTTAAGGACTTTCAAACTATGGAGGTTACCAAACTTTAGTGGCCATTTTCTCATAAATTTACCTCTGAAACTAAACAACCCCCTCCTTCTTTAGTCGCAAATATCTCGACTCCTATTCAAGAATGATGGGTTCTTTTTTCTTCTTGAGCAAGACAATAGAATAAACTTTAAGATAATACCAATAACTCTACATGCCCAAAAATTGACGAGCGCCTGATTCTACTGCGTTGTGACACATATATATTATTATACTAAAGCACACAGTTGTGACGTCCCACGTGTCAGACATGGGGGCTCTCTTACCCTTATCAGGATGAGCGGCGCGCTCCCTTTAACATGAACAATCAAATCCCCCCCCTCCTCCATGCTCCCCATGAGCTCTAGTCTAGTATATTAAACACCACCACCCTGCCCCCATATTTCAGTGCAAGTTTGTAGATTTCCGCCACAAGACCGCCGAGACTCCTCCACGTGAGTCTCAAAAAGTACTCGCTGTGCTGGCTAGCTTGGTGCTAGTCCCAAATCTGATGGTATAACGGAGCTTCTCTCTCATCTGTATATGTGACGTCGGTGGCCTAGTGGTTAAGCTCTCGGACTGGCAACCGTAAGGTCGTGGGTTCGAATCCCGTCAGTGGCCCGACGTTGTGTCCTTGGGAAAGGCACTTTACTCGAATTTTCCTCACTTCACCTGGGTGGGAATGGGTACCCGACTATAGACAGCAAAAGATCTTGTCAGTTTGTTAGTGTTTGAGCGCTTAATCAGCTGCTAGCACTGTATGCTTCCCGGGAAGCTGAGAATGTTTCTGAGTGTTCTATGGTCTGTTGGGGTAATAATATAGTGTAAAGCGCATAGAGCCGGCTGTTGAGTGGGGATATGCGCTGTACAAATGCTATTTATTATTTGTTATTATTATTATTATTATTATTATTTATTTATTGATTTGTTTATTGATTGATTTATTTGCTCTCCAGTATTTGATGGGTTGTGTTCTAGTCTTGCCGATTAAAAAGACACTTGTGCACTGGATATGCTAATATGAAGTTATATGATGAAAGTATTAATGCGCAGTGGCAGCCTGATGCTAGTCTCAAGCCAGCTAATATAATGCGGCTTCACTGTATATAATGTGTGTGTGTCTAAAGAAAGGTACCAAAAGTCAGATTTTGACCATTTTGGGTTAAGGGTTGTACCCTTGGCGTTCTTTACTTAAAGTACACTATGGTTGTACCTTATATGAAATTCAATGCTGCTCACAGGGTTTTTAAATTTTTTTTAGATATCTCAAGTAATTTTTTAGATATTGCACATTTTACGAGGCAGGGTATGAAAATATAATTTTGAGAAAATGAGCTATAAGTTTAACAAATGTGAGAACTCAAATGTTAAAAAAAAGATTTTTCAAATGTATTTATTCTTGGAAAATTCATTTCCAATTTGGCATTCTGTTGATATCAATATCATGAATGGAATTCAATTTTAAAACATAGCAGAGAAGAGAAAATGTGCTTCAACAATAGATTTTAACACCTTTTAAAAGCAGTTTGCATTATTTGTTTTTATTATACCCTGCCCTTCCCTCAAAATAATTCAAAATGAAACATTCAGAAGTCAAATCAATGGAAACACTTGGAGCACATTGTAGAAATCTATTGGATCTATAATTTTTTTTATGGAAACACATTGGTCAAAAAAGTGATTTTTGTCATTATCAGCCTGTTGCTCGAAACGGTCCGTGGCGACTTTTGGTACTTTTCTCCAGGCGCACACACATATGTTTTTATTTATTAATTCTCCTTTATTTGATGTGTTGGGCTCTTGTCTTGCCATTTAGAAAGATGATGGCTGTACACTGGATTTGTAGATATGAAACAGTGTGATGACAGTCTTAATGTAGAGGAAACTGTTGAAAACTGAGTATTCAGTCAAAAGGTTTTGATCTCTTGTACTTGTAGTTTATTTTTCCTTGACTGTTGTTGATCTATCAC